CTGTCTGTCTTTCTCGCTCTGTGTGTCTGCCTCTCTCTCCCCCATTCTCCCTCCCTGTCTATCTGTACGTCTGTCGTTCTCGATCGGTCTGTCTCTACGTCCTTCCTCTGTCCAGCTGTCTGTCTGTCGGCCTGTCTATATGTCTGTCTCTCCCTCTATCTGTGCCTCTTTTTTCGCTCTATGTGTCAGTGTTTCTCTCTCCTCCCTTCTCCCTTCCTCTTTGTCCGTTTGTCCGTTTGTCTGTCTGTCTGTCTGTCTCTTTCTCGCTCTCTGTGCGTATCTGTCTCTCTCCCCACCCTTCTCCCTTCCTCTCTATCTGTCTGTCTGTCTGTCTCTCCCCGTTTCTCCCTTCCTCCATGTCTTCCTCCTCTTTTCCTCCCTCTACTCATCCCCTCTTGCTTCTCTCTTTCTCCCTCGTCTCTTCCTCGCTCTCTCTCCTTGTCACTTCACCCCGTTCCTCTCTTACGCACGCTAGTCACTTCTCCCCGCTCCTTTTCTCCGTCCTACCTTCCTTTCTGGCCTTCTCCCTCGTCCCTTCCTCCCTCCCTCCCTCTCTTTCTCCCTCCCTTCCTCTCTATCTTACTCCCTCCCTCTCCGTCTTCCTCCTCCCACCCTCTCTTTCTCCCTTTTCCTTTCCTTCATTTCTCTCTCTTCCTCCTTCCCTCCCTGTCGCCACTCCCTGCCTCTCCTTTCCCGTAACGTAGCCTGATGACGGCCGTATAGTACCTGAAATATAGCTTGTATGCATTGATGATCAGCACGCGCTGTGCTCGGGGGAGTACGGGAGGTCGTGCTTTCTCCTTCTTCCTCCCTTCCTCGCTTCCTCCCATTTTTTGCCTTGCCGCCCTCCGTACCTTATCCACCTCCTTCCTCTCACGCCTTCTCTCCTTGATGATCAAGTGCAGTTGCTGTTCCGATCGGTTTTGTATCCTACCTTTTGCTCTGTCCTCTCTTTTCCTCCCTTACACCCCTCTGCCTACGTCTTTCCTACCAACTCACTTCTCTACCCTATTTTCCTCTCTCCCACCTCTTCTTCCCAACCTCTTCCCTCTCTTCGTGTTCGCGCTCCTACCAAACTACCTTCTATTAGGTACTGCGTGTTTTTAGACCAACGGCGCGTGTACCTCTCTCTCCCTCTTCTGCTTGTTTCTGGAGCAAGGTGCTGTTCTTAAATCTCTCTCTCTCTCTCCCTCACTCTCGCTTTCTGTCTGTCTGTGCCCCTTTGGCTCGTCCCCCTCTCTCTCTCTCTCTGTGCGCGTGTACCTCTGCTCATTTGATTTTGATTTCCAGAAGAAGAAAAAGAAAACGAAAAAAATCAATCAATCAAAATCGCATTGATTCTGTGCGCGTGTACCTCTGCTCATTTGATTTTGATTTCCAGAAGAAGAAAAAGAAAAAGAAAAAAATCAATCAATCAAAATCGCATTGATTGATTGATTGATTGATTGTGTGTGTGTGTGTGTGTGTGTGTGTGTGTGTGTGTGTGTGTGTGAGAGAGAGAGAGAGAGAGAGAGAGAGA